TTAATAAAGCGTTATGATAGACTTATTTTCAAGCAATTATAATCCGCATCAATCTTTTTCGATCGGATCAGAATAAAGTAAAAGCAGCTTAGTAATACTACTTCTTGATCAAACTGTATATCAGGTTGAAATGAATGCTTCATGCCAGGTAAACTAATAGTTAGAGGGGTAAATTGTACTTAATATGCATTTACGAAGTACCAATAATATAGCTGACGAGAATAAAAGTGGCCAAATTCTAATTTATTATGAAGTCAAAGACTTTTGAAGATTGAGATTATTAAGTAGATAGAATTTAGAGATGATTTACGCTTGTATTATATTGTACGAGGATATTATATCACGTTGTAGGGCGAGATCGGAGCTTCTTGATTTTTTCCACGTAATATCGTCACTATAATTTACACTAAAAATGGTATATTGAACCAACTAGAAAGGAGCATGTAAAATATTCTGAGACTATTACAGCCCATATACGAGTACATTAGGTTTACAAGTTAAATGCAATAAATGCTATACGACAACACTAATATTCTACAGCCAAGAAATAGCAATACCGTTTTGTAATCAGTATATATATAACCTTCGAAACATACTTTTCTGGCAATAAGAACTTATATTGAACGAGAGGTGTGATGACCTGAAACAAGAGCATTATAATGGTTTCTATTATTTATAAAATTTACAAAGTGTTAAAGTAATTATCTCATCTACATCAGTACAATAACAAATAGCGGTGGAGATTGTTTCACTAATTGCAAGAAGAAATTTATGTCTAAAATCCGTTTAGGTTATCAATCTCTATCGATTTATTCTGACTAGCAATGAAATTGATCAATAATTTGTAATTAGAATATTCGACAACATTTCTCAGATATACAATAAAATATTTCTACTCTGAGTTGTCCACTTATATTCACAATATTATATAAGGAGGATTGCCAATCTGTTACTATCTTTGTCAGAGTTCGTCTTCCATTAGAATCAAATATCTTAAAGAATAGCAATATAACCGAAGCTATTCGTAAGTTGAACGCTAATTGCTACCTTTGATGGAGTATTTTAAAATTGCACACATTAAATGCAAGTAGCATTTATTTGTATTGTAACACAAATAGTATTTAAAAAGCTTTACTTTCATTTTACAGTAAATGAAAGATACACAAAATCGCATCATTATTAAATTAAATGATAATTCAATATTAGTTTCATGCCAATATCCTTGCTTTTAAAAATCTAGATCTTATTTTTATATAACAGAGAGCTTTATATGGAAGCATACTATTTATTTATTATAGTACTATAACAAGAATTACCGTTTTTTATTAGTAAACTTTGTGTACAGATATCAGAAAACAAAAAAATGATAATAACAATTACGGGTTAAAACTTATTTTATTAAGTTATCTCAAGACTACAGAGTTAAATTTAATATGGAACGTCCTGATAAGCTGTAATACAGAAGCTTTATTAAGTTACTCTCTTATCAAGTTTACACCTTAAAAGAATTACGATACCGATATAAGTTCCATGTCTGATTTTATAATTGACAAATAAAAACTCACATTTAGATAAAGTTGAGATCACAATGCGAATTAACCTTCATATCTTACATGATCATATATTTTGATTTCAAAACCAAAATTACCTAATTAATATACCATCTTAAAATGTTATTATATTTATGAAGGATATCATTCCTGATTACATTATCACCAAATGAAATAAATTAATTTCCTTTAAATGATTGCATTTTTCTTATACTGTGTACTAGAATGGAACCTTCACAGTTTGAGATTGATACGACGGAGTATTTCAGGCTTCCAATAAATTTGATTTTATCAATTTAAACTTCGGATCCAATGTCTGTCTGCTGTTAAAGAAATCTAATTCGCATACTGTCAACTCGACGATTATAATATCGTCAATGTATTTATTCTTCGAAATCAGGCGACTTTCTGAACTTCTATTTTATAATCATGTGAATCATCTACACCATTCTTAACGCCTTTGTCGTGTGTAGATATCAAGATGGTTTTCATTAACATTTTTCATTTTTATTTAAAATTCTCGATCCTGACCTACACATCTTAACTAGTGCTATGGTACAGTATTTAATAGTCAAGCATGTGCATTAATACACACCAGATGTCAATTGTTTAGTTAAAGGTTAAAATTCATATGGCCAAATAAAATCGGTAGACAATAAGCAATCCAAGTAAATCAAATGCTACGAATAAACGTTTCCGAAAAGATAAGACATCAATTTTTTCCGTTCGTATTGTCTAAGTTTGCTTTCAAGTTTTCATTAAACTTGAAAGTAAATACTTATATTTTTATCCAGAAACTGATATCTTAGTAGAGATGAATAATCAGCCATATTCTCTGTTCAGTAAAGGCTTAAATGATAGACTTACCAATCGAATTGATATTTTTGCTATGTAATCTTGTTAATATTACTTTTTGTTTTGGAAAAGATAAATTAAAACCCCAACGACCACGGAAACTGTCAAAGCAACAGTAATATACGCGATAATTAAATGCATTTTGGTGTGATTTGGCGAGAATTGGACCGTTGATTCACGACGTGAAACAGATTTTGGCTGAAAATCAGCGATATTATCCACGACGACATAAGCTGCGCTTGAACGAGGCATTCTGCTTGCTTTCTGTAATTTAGTATTTGAGAGAAATTCTAAAACATCGAGTAACTTAGTTAAAAAACTAAAGCTATGAGTAAATTCGTTATAGCAATAGCTAGTACCAAGTATAATGGATAGAAAATTATACCATCTCTTTGAAAATTGTTTTAACACCACTGGATATTGGATTTTATTGTTCAATATTACTATTGGATATCGTGACGTAATGGATAATTATCTATAGTTGTCGATTCTAATATATTATACGAAGAACAATATCTAACTTGATTAAAGTATAGTTATTAGTATATCTGTATTGCATCAGTAACGATGTTGATTTTAACGTAGACAATAAACGAAGTTGTTACCATGCGGCCAACTGATTCACTTGTATACCTTATAATTGTACACAAAAATTTTTGGCATATCAAATTGCATAGAGTTGTTTAAGTGGAAAACAATATGTAAGCGAACACGAAAGGAATGTGATTGCGACTACTGTTTCAAAAATTATTTGGTTTTAATTATTGTCATACTGAACGTTAAGCTATCATAAATATTTAAAAAAAGGATAATTCAGGTCACTGAACTTTAAACAGTAGAAGAAACTGAATCTTGAGACTCTAAAATATACAAGTTGATAATAGTCGGTTAGCATATGGTGTATCTGTTATTGTACTGTGAGGGATTCGTATATAAATACATTCGTTCAAGGAGAAAGAAGGGCTGTTTGTTTCGTATCTCTTTGTAGTTTAATACATACTTAAACGGAAATAAGTGTTTCAATTCATTAAATTTTATTAAAGTAAGTTCTTACGGTAGATTTTAAAGAATCCTTACAGTATAATGATAAAACTAGAAAACTTAAAATTGCTACTCTATCGTTTCTAACTGTATAATATGAAAGTTAACAAAATTGAAAAAATTTTAGGCCATTAAAATGTTTATTTTACTTGGTCTATCAAAATTTATGCCTTAAAATTCTGTTTCGGGTTGAGTTGCGACAAGACAGTTAACCTTATCCAGGAATTTTTAAACTCGCATACTCGTAGCTCGTTCTTTATATAATATACGTAAAATAATATTAGTAAAACGAAACATCTTGTATTTGCCAATTTACTGATCATGAAAATCCTATTTTGATGACGTTGTATGATGATCTTGAGGGATAGCTATGATATCGTACTCAATGCAAGATCAACTACTAAATATCTCTTAGGTTAAAGGCTTTTAGAATAATTTGTTTGAGATGGTATCAATGAAGCGATTGGATGCTTTGCCAACGCTATACAGTCATTGATATTACATTTTAGATTCTGGCCGTTCACTTGAGCGGAAAGGTTAAACGTTCATTTAATTAAATAAATTAGCCTTAATTAGAGGCAATTGTTGACATTTTAGGGGCTGTCAGAAATCTAAATACTCGATTATTAAGATACGAATCGAATTGCCTCCAAGATGATCTATTTTAAGTACACATTGGAAATTTTACTCGATATTAATAAAATAAAGTACAGTGCATACCGTGAAACAAGGAATCTTCAAACTAAGAAATTTATGCTTGTGTTTAGATCATTTATGATTTAATATTTCAAATACAGTCATTATTGTATTGGTAAGACTTTTATTCGATATAATAAAAGACAAATAATACCATTAGTTCTGATACTACATTTGCGATCAAAACGTGATATATTCCTGTAATTTCCGACCGGTATTCTAGTATATAATAAATTTTGTCAATGCTACTGGACTATAAATTGAAAGACGAGTAGTAATAGTGTGAGAACTGCAACTGACGATCAACGGTAGCATTCGTTCGCGAGTTAATAGTTTCTAGATTAAAAAGATTGCGTATTCCCACTACTATTTTAATTAATCGATGGAAATGGATGCTATTATAGAGCTTATTTGGAGGGTTAACATCTTTATAGATACATCATTACTGTTCTAAAGGTAAGTGCAATCTATAAATCTAATTGCAAGCAAATATATTTACATAAGATAATATGTAACTTAGAAATGAATGATTATTAAAACCCACAAAATGATACTATTCCTAATAATAGGGTTAATTCAAAAAGCCGTCCTTTATTCAAAGGCTAAGCAAATATACAATATACTGTAGTGTACCTATCTTATTCTATAATTTAAAATAAAAGTTGAGGGAGAACGTTACTGCTGTATAAACAACCTGTGGCTAAAATAAAATGTAGATTGCTGAAATTATAATAAAGATAAATGTTCAGCTGAAATTGTATCATGAATTAAATATCCTGACCGATCTAATGTCGGGCAATAACAGAACTTAATATAAGAATTTATAGTCGATCATTTCCATTATTTAATAAAAAAATCTCAATTAAATATTCCTTCATTTTTTAGTTTTTCAATTGTTTTTCGAAGCCAATGACTTGCTCTATTAGAATTTATTTTGGTGAAAGAAAATTTAAAGTTTTCCCTCTCATCGGAGTCATTTTGAAGTGCTTCCTGGAAGACGATGCTATGAAGTTGGATAAAATCTCTAACCTATGTTACATTATAAGAATAGTGTGTAAATTTGAGAGAAATTATATTGTTGATGCCGATGCGGCTATTCATTAGATCTAAAGTACGTGTATAACCAGGGAAAATATACGATACGACGATAAAATATTTATGCTCTAAAGAATAAAGTAATCACTAGTAAGTAATACGAGTATTTCAATCGCAAATAAGCTAATGTAGACAGCACTGATCTATTTTGTAGACTTTTATGGATAACATAAATTAGGGATAGGTTTAGCGGTAACCAGATATTTACACTCAGGGTTTTTCAATAAGAAAGCAGGCTCGGTGTTGTATACTGTAAATCGTATGCAATGGACGTTCATTACGGTAGATTAACATGTAAACAGTCATAAAATAATAAAAGAGAGTATGGTAGATAACATTTTAAACTTTATATTATATAATAACTGTAACAATCTAGCTATAGTACGGCAGACTACTATGATCAAATATATGAGTTACTCAGCAAATTTTTTCCACTAGTATTTTAAAGCAACTCAGCACCATACTGATTACGGTAATCCACACTCTGGTAAAGTATCTTAATGCGCTGAAATTTACATAACGATATCTAGATTGATGAATAAAACAACATCACTGTACAATCTAAGTTTACTGGTTATGCAAATATTATTAATTTGGAGAGCTAATACAGTTGTTGCTGCGAAAGAAATATAAGGATTGTTAAATGAAAGCCAGAGAGAGGGAATATTAGACTATGGAGCTTAATTTAACTAAAATTTAGAATGAAACATATTCATGCATAAAAATTCATAAATCTCAGTTTGATAATATTACTAACATAACTTTCTGTCACTTTGCTGACATTTATAGAATGATTATAATTAATCTTATTTGAATTACCTCAAGTGTATTATCGTGTATTTCAGGTTGTTGAACAAGATCATCTAGTATCAGTTTCATGGTTACGGGAGAAGACCTAATTTAGAAAAAATTTGATCGTGATTGCATAAAGCGTTAAAGTATCTCATTACCATAAAAATCGCTTTCTTGCTTATCAATTATTTTATAAACATTTATTTCCTAAATTACCTCTCGGCCAATTGTTTCCAATTCTCTGTCATGAAGTTCAAAAGGCTTTTTCTATGAATCCTATTCCGGCTAATTGCTACTAGTATATCTTTTAGATCACTAGGAGACAGCTCTTTATTGGTAAGACTGAGCTCTAATAGGCTAGATATAAAATGAATCAACCGTTATGTACCTGTATTAGTTTTCTAGATATAAGCTAATAGCATATTGTAAGCTGACATAAGGATAATTGTTATGATGGTTATTCACCTCTTAATTAAGAATTGATGAGGAGTTGATGCCAGAGCTTTAATCATAGAAATTTTTTCCCAATTCCTCTTTGACATTTTATACTGGTAAAATAAGCTGTACCAATTAGCTGGTGTTCCATCACGAATAAGAGCTAGTAATTGTTTTTCTAAGCTGTCTTCCTTATTGCTAGACAGGTTAGAGCACTTAATTTATTATAATATAGCACAATCAAACTGGCTAGCAATTAAATTGATAAAGTTTTAAATTTAAAGAGCTATTGTGTTTATAGTAAATGTATTAGATAGAATAAAAGTAATGTAAAAAACATCGACGATTAGCGGATGTTAACTTAGAAAGTAATTCAATAAAACGGCTATTATATATTCTGCTATATTTTCGGCTATCCATATAAATATTCTTACTCATTCTGGGAAGATAACTGGAAGCTATAATCATCCATTTCCAGATTATCTTTGTCTAAATCGGGCGGTGGCTTTAGTTTCAGATATGCAATGTATTTCTAATAGCGCAAGCGGAGGCGAGAATTAACAAAAGAATACGCGTATATATCATAAATTGTTTCTAAGATGATGTTATGTAAGGGAATTCTTGGCTTAATCTATATTCTTATGATAACTTTATTTATTAGTAAAAATCATGCTTTTTACGATATTATTTACTAGTAAATTATCTCGATCAGCCTTTCTTTGTAAAGACGAACGAATTTTTTTCAGGCAATTGTATGCCATATCTCGTGGTAATTCATCTTTCTCATGAATAAGATATTCCGTTGTACCGAAGAAAATATTAATATTTAACTCGCCAATTCTATAAGAAAGATACAGCCTGTCATTATTTGAATATTATATTTGCTACTTTCATGCTAAGAATTATCTTTTTATAGCCTCTTTAAAGTATCAAATTTGTACTAACTCAGCCAATGCGCAGGAATCGGTTATTAGGTCTGCTCTGTCAGAAGGGCTTAATTTCTAACGTATGGAATATAGCACATAATTGAAAAAACGATTACTACTATAAAATATATTGCTTTTCATGAACATTCAGAAATTATGTTAAAGTAATTGTTAAAAGTAAAGAATTAGGACATTTACCTTATGATCAATTTTCAGTAATTGAATAAGTTGATTCCACGTATCATGATCATAATTTACACAGTAATATCCGGAACTGTTGACATTGGCTTTAAACCATTGAAATGGCGACTTTAACGCCATTGAGTCTAATAACGAATTCAAAATTAATAAATTTCTGAACGGAAAAGACTACATTTGCAATTACATGGTACTATACGTGTAGTCTTACCCGCAGAACGTTTAATTAAAAACTTTCCATTGTGTACCATGTTCGTTCTGAAGGTGAAAGGTATCTGACGGTCTATCTCACTATTAAATGTTAATCATAATGAATCCCGAAGAAAATTCAAGGGATTTTATTAGTATAATTGAAGGAGCAAATATCGAAAATCACAGAAAAATATGCACATACGGCTATCGATAAAGAATATATTATAAATTAGATATCTTGATCTTAATTTATGCTATCATAAGATATTAAGCATACAATACAGTTATCCTTATATACAGATTAATACAAGCAATGGATCCGAATATGGTCGTATTTAATTTTCCATATAAAGAATTAAAATAGACTATTTTCTAGCTTATTAAGAACTGAAATATAAAATTATGTTGGTTACCTATTCTTTGTATCTATGGAATTCTGCTGAACTTTACGTTTTTGTGGATATAACGAAACGGAAAAGGTTACTTTATGTCGATTTCGGTCTACTAACGCCGTGATAATGGGAAATCCAATCTTATGTATCCAAGGCTTCATGATTGAATTGATATCATAATGTGTTACCTAATAATGAAATAGAACCTCGATTGTTATATAGGAACTACCGAAAGTAATGATTCTAATATTTATAGTTAGCTGTTGCTATCGATCAGCAATATCGCTGCTTGATATCATATTCCCAATTACCTGACTTAGGGAATTCCATAAATCAGCACCAAAAGCAGCATTATATTTAAACTTATTTAAATATAAATTAACTCCTTTGAAAAACTTTTCTCTACCCATGAATTGTTCTATCATTCTAAGCATGCACGAGCCCTTGAAAAATTGAAAATGAAATATTAGTATTATTACGAAAATTTTATTAAATGTAAGAGTTTTTAGCTAGTAGGGCACTTAGGCAGTAAACGGAAATTGTATTGTGCGTTGCAAGTGAAATTATTAACGTGGTACTAGTCTAATATAATAACAGAAATGTACAGTTCCTTGTTATATGTACTTAATTATTAATAAAATCTCGGAAATCTTAGTACTTGCATGCATTGAAATAATAAAGAAATAGATATTATTGTGGGAATAAAAGGATACTCTTTGATTCTTTACGTAAACCAAAAATAATTGTGAAAAATTTTCTGTCTTCAGATATTGGAGTTATATTATAATTAAACTCACAAACAAATACGTAAGAGGTACTCCTATAATTGAAACTAAGCTATTTGAATTGTTGGTGGCAAGCAAACAATTCATGCTTGCTGTTTGCAAGAGTAGGATAGAATAAAATGATATGGAAGTTATTGAGCTGGACGGAAAAAAGTCCTTCATACTAACTGCTATTTATAATTGTATGAACAGATAAAATATAGCTGTAACTGAAGAAGTTGACGAATACAATAAGAAAGAATAAATTTAAGATTCTATCGAGTGTAGGTTTTTATTAGATTAGATTTAGTTACCTTTTGATAAATGATACCGTCAAATATCGCATTAATTTGCGCTGGAGTATCCACGGGTGTGGAAACACTATGAGAAGTGCTGGAGATATCACGTTTTATTGCCCCTTCCCATTTATTTCGAAAGAATTGCAATTGCTAATGTCGTAAAATATCTTAGTTTATTAATTAGATACTTTGATCTTAATAATGAAGAAGATATCTTATGTGCAAATTAAATTTGACGGTAAGCTAAGTAGTTTATTTGTGCTGACAAATATTCTGTAGTATAATATCTTACTGCAAGTTTAGGTGATTTCAGATAATAGGCAGAATAGAATTCCATAACCGTTGCGAAACCTTCCTTCAAAAATAATTCACTCCACCACCCTATTGAAACCAGATCTCCAACCCACTTTTCATAATAAAACGAAATGTGAGCGTTAAAGCTTTAATATATATTGTATTATCCTCATTGTTAATGAGAATTTTAGATTAAAGCTTTATAGTATATACCCTCTACAGTATGCTCCGATTAAGATCATAATCGATTGACTACGAGAAGGATCAGGAAAGAACATATTCACTTACATGATGAGCTATTTCATGTGCTGGAGTTGCGGTAACTCTGTGTTTGTTGGTACCAGTCTTTGGATAGTAAAGGCAAGATTCTTCCGGAAATGTGATCAACCCCCAATTTTCCATGGCACTTATTCCAGCTTTCTTGACACAGACAAGGTCTAGATATTTTAATAGAAATCAAGATATGTAGGCGAAATTTAGACGGATGATACTATTCATAATGTGAAAAAACTCCTAATCATTTTTTAAGAGAAAAACTCAGGTTTTCATAGGAATACAAACAAAATATTTTTAATTCTTTAATGCTTAAGTACATCGAAACCTTTAATATAAATAACGCAAGTATAATGAAGCAGTAAGTCGAATAAATTTTTTACCTAGTTTTGGTAACGGATAGGAAACCCCAAAAAGCTTTTCATATAACTCCAGCGATCTTCTACCATAATCGAGTGAAAGTCTCATTTGATCTATCTTAGCTGGTGCTGCCCAAGCGCGGATCTATATTTGTAAACCATCCCAATTAATATTATTTCTATAGAAAAACGACCAATATATGCGATACAAAGTCTATAAATACTGGTAGCCGATCTCTACTAACTATATTAAAAAATGATTCGCTTTTTCTCTACTTCCTGTAGCAAATTAACTAAACCAGTATTATTGGTGATCTTGAAATTAATAGCAGTCTACGTCTACGTACACATTTACCTTGATGGCGATCAATGTACGCGATATAAAATCTACAAGCTCTCGGTATAGTAGCGGATCTCAACTGACTATATTTAAAAATGATTCAATTTCTCTCTACTTCTACTAGCAAATTAACTAAATCAGTAATTATTGATATATCACTACTAGTGGTCTACATCTATGTTATATATTTACCTTGATACCTGTTGATGTTTTCGTACTAATGTGGGTATAATTTAATATCGTATAAGCAACTACATAAGAACTCATTCGAGGAGTCGTCTTAAACTCCGCTTCAGCGCTACTATTGGAAATAATCCGATCAGTTTTCAATGGCATATTCGAAAGAACACCATATTCCCTTGGTCGAGTAATAAACAACTTGAACGTAGCTTTCATAGACGGTTCATCGAAACAAGGAAATGCAAGTCGGGTGTAAACAGGTTCAAAATGTGTAACATAGGCATATCTAATTGATAAAGTGAGAAAATCATCACTTAATTATTATTAACTGTAAAATTGAAATAAAACAGACACGATGGACTATAAGCAGGGAATGTAGTAATAAACTTTATCATATTAAATAGAACAATGTAGACGAAAAGCATCCTATTTGAATTACTCAAATTGCTATTCAAAGACTACTAGATCCAAACTCGATAACCATAAAATGATTATGTTATTATTAATAAAGTCTTGACATAGAAAAGTAGTAAAATAACTTAATATTAATCCTTTCCACTTGCAAGTGTAATGCTATCAACAAACCTTATTTCATTATTACCATCTGTGTATGTACTACGATAGAGTCCATTGATCGAATTTAGATAGATCTTACTTCGAAACTGAATAGTCAACGTATAATTGACATTTGGTAGTAAGTCTTGGTCGAATTGAAGGTATCGTAGTTGTAGTAGTGAGCTGTAGCGATTATCTCGAATTTGTAACTTGTTGCTAACATTTGAAGATAGAGCTATATTGACGGATAAAACGATGGAATCGTTGTGGTGAAAAACAATAAAATTCGTTTTCCTTGCACAACCAATAACAATTTGACTATGACCGTGAATTATCAAATTGTCTAGATCATGTCTAAGGTGCAATTGGTAATGTATGGGAAAGATATGCTTGGGTAGACGTAAATCACGATAGGGAAATTCATTAGACGCTATTTCACGACGATATTCTTTATTAAGACTATTCGAATTGGATGAAAAGCCGGCTGTATTTGTATCTTCTGTCAGTACAGATGTGGATATCGCCACCATTAAGAAGACACTGACGACCGCAACAGCAGCTAGGGCGGAATAATTACGCTTCGTTACATTAGCATTATGTTCAGAGTGGATTTTCGGACATATTTTAGGCGATTTAACCTTTTTTCTATCGCTGCCTCTCTCCGTAGTATCACGTAAACTCATCATATCATCCATCTTGATAACCGACTTGGTAATGACTAATTTATGGACTCCAATTTCATTCAAGATGGACAAAAATTAAAATATTTTAAGGTTCTAAAATCAATCTTTTCCTGAAACTTAATCCTTGATTCATTGGTCTACAGTAGTTAAGGATTAGAACTAACTTTAATAATTAACTGATTTTCACTCATTTGTTCTATCTTCTTGGCGATTAACTTAGGTCGTTGTGGGGATTCGCCTACTGTGCTATTATCCATTTTCCTTTGTAAACTATTGTTAATTCTACAGCAAGCAGAACAAGGTCCGATTATAGCTTTTAATATTCATTTTAATAGCACAGAATCCTATTAAATCAGTTCATTATTAAGATATAACAAGACTAAGTTAAAAATTTTGCTTGAAGGCTTGCGTAGCCATCATAAGCAGGTGAATGGGTTAATTAATTCTGCATCGCTGATGGCTATTTTTTTATAGAATAATCAAATGAGTAAACCCTCGAGGGGTTTAGTAATGACGTATTTCTATTGCGTTTTGGGGGCCGGAACTTATTTGCTAAGATATTTATAGATGTCTATCATCTGGCCATTGAATGACAGCCATTAGCAATTTCTATTTATCTTTATGATTTCAACCCATTTATGATAGTATGATTACTATTATTACAGTTTATAGTACGTGTTCTTCACTTTATTGACTGCTGAATGAAAACCTTGGTAATTCCAATGTAATCCATAAGCATTTAATCGAGTTATACTATCAAAAATGCAATGACACAGTCAATTTAGGGTTCAAAAATCATTGAATGAAAGCCATTAGTAATTTGATCTTTATTCGGGTCCAAAATAAATCCCTTCTGCTATCGTAATTGTAGCGCGATTTCGAGTTCAAAGATCACTGAAATAAGTATAGTAAGCCGGTTTTACGAAATAAAATTCGTTCGTAATTCTTTCTCAGGCAGACAATTTCAATACAGTTCCTTTAGTATTCACAGCGGAATACAGATCTAATAGTTTAATTTAAGATAATAGTTTACCAATGATTAGCCATAAGGCTTTCATTTCCGTTTCAAGTATAGAAGCAATTAGTTTTGTGATTCAGAACTCACCGGCATACTAATGCAATGCCAATCGCATGTCAATCATCTCGGTCATTAATTGACTATTCGAAAGCAATGAAATTAGGATACTTAAGATTGATATCTTTCAGAATTCCTTTCTATTAGCTAACTTTGATTTAAGGAAAGTACTTCATTAAATCTAGAGAAATTCCCCATGATAATGACTTTAGATATTTAGTTTTGAATGTTGCGTCAATTAAACAATCAGTCTGGCTCAAATATAACTATTCTGGTTTCTCCAGCCATATACGTTAGAGTCGTTGGCACACCAGATGAACAGCTTCCTACATATAAAATAAGCTAAACAATACTTACAAGGCTTATTATATTCACGGCAAGCCTATAGAAACTATGGTACATTAAGAGTGAAGCATAAGAAATAATGCATGTGTCGAAACTAACTTGCTCTTCTTATTCATTTATAGTTTATGTTTGTATAGTCATACAACCCGTATTTGATTGTCTTGAAGGCAATATTTTCTATAGTTCAATTTCTAATATGATGCTAATACTAAATAATTGCTAATTTCTCTGTTAGATATTATTAATTGCAAATATTGGCGTAAGTACGTTACAAGATTCAACTGACCTGACGTAATAAATTATTGTGTAGAGGCCAAATACCTTGCAGTTTTATACATTAACAGAAGAGCAATGATATTTTAAGCTGATTGATTTATATGATAAAATATAGAGATCGTCTATTTTAGAAGAAAAGTATTTATTTGATGGCTCAAGTCCGTTTGTAAGCAACTTTGCTGCCGTAAACAGATTAAATTGTATTTATGAAGTGCAGATAAGAGCTTAAACTGCACCTCTATTGAGCTCAATATCCTTTAAATTAGATTCTTGCTAGTAGTGAATTAACCCTTCACTATTCTTCAATTCTCTAATGAAAGCCTTTTTATTTCTATCTTGACTGAAGTAATTATTTTATAAGAACTTGATTTTTAAGATTAGCTGGAATAGTATTGCGATATTTTTATTGCATTTTGGCGAAGATAATCGTAAAAGGAAATATATTTTTTTCCTCCATCTACGAATACCTTTTATCAATAAAATCACGGTAATTTATAGTCTAATATATCGTAAGAAAGGTATTTTACCCGCGTTATTCATAGCTACAATATTATATTAATTTATTTCAGGTTGTAGCGTTAATAGCCGTAAGAAATCGTAAGCAATACGATTTTTCTATAATACTCGCACCAAACAAAAATTTCATTCTTCAAGCCCTTACGTAGTTACTGTAACTTATTGATTGGAATTAATTGCCACATATACCAAGATCTTTTATAATGTAGTAATATCGCATGAACTAAAATCTTATCACCTTGTATGTTATACTTAGCAGATTACATGCAACAGAAATAAGGCCTAAAGGACTGAGTTGTTGATTGAAAGAATATGGACTTAAGAGTGAAGAGTAATTTTTATTCTAATTCTTATCAAATGGTGTTATTATCCCTATATCTTTTCTTTTCAAGAAATTTTGGAAATGCTGTAAGCGGATTTATGACATACAAATAATGAAAGATGTGTTTTAGAAATAATGAGAGCTTTCAGAACGTCATTAGTAAGTGCAATACTGTAATGACAAATTTCTGTTTTTCCTTAAAAGTTACCAGCAACACTAGGCAACGGTAAAATGATTGGTTATTATTTTTCTCTATAGTCTTCTTACGGCATCTTGTAGCCATTTACTAGTGCTTAAACTGTATACCTTCTTCCAGTGTACTCTACCGGCGATGAGATCGATTGATTTGCTTACATCACGTTCACCGTATCTCAAGCGTCGATTTTGGAAAAATTTAATAACCTAATAGCGTTTAATTATCAGACAGAAAAATTAAAATTATGTAAGAAATACGAGAATATCACAGTTTATTTATATATCTAGAATTCATAAGTGGATGATCAGCTATTAGTACTCCTGAATTGATGCTGATTTCCACTTAAAGTAAGTACAACTATATAAACACGCAATAGATTACGTAATGTAAGGTGAATAAATAATAAGAAGTCTATTTATTACCATTTGAAGTTCTTCTTGAGTGTAAAATTTCTTGGTTATATCCCTCAAAATTATTCTTAAGGCATTAGGCTGGTAACTGAATCTGAGTGGAGAGAATATAAATCCGGGTCAATATTCCCATCATTATTATCACGACCGTAATTTAAACACATCTGAATTTACTTACCTTTGATTTAACACCTTCCAATGCTTCGTAAAAAAGTTCCATATGATTTTTCTATTTACAAAATGTTGAGAAACTGCCGCTAGAATTGCCTTTAATCTATTATTATTAACCTTTTTGTTGTTAATAGCAGTTTTCAAAAGCCTAGAAGAAGTGATAATCTCGTTAAAATAAAATTCTTAATTATAATAAATTGTTACCCTCAACAGGTAATGTAGATTTTCACTTAACTATTGGGTGTTACTGTTACTTTTTCAATAGCAATGAAGTATATGAGAACAAAAAAATATAATTTTTTGAAAAAGTGATTAGACTTACTTCGAAATAAGAAATTTTTTAGTGGTAGCAGCTAATGCTTCTTGCATAATTGCTTTTTTCCAATTCCCCCGTGTATCTAAATATCTGGTGAGCAGCCTATTCCAGTCACGAGTAGACCCAAATTTGCTTCCGATAAATAATATACTTCGAAATTGTGTTGGTTGGAGCCTTAAATTTAGATAATAGAAGGATCATTAGATAAAATCTTCAGCAATCTAGGCCTGAATTTCAGTAAATTGTGATCTATGCACAACTAATATATAATGCTACACTTGTAACATGGTTCTAACTTAATTTATTCTTATACTCATACACCTATAGTAGCACGTCAATGAAATTTGTCGTAAATTTACGCTATATTCAAATATTATCCATTAAACTGTAATAAATTACTCCGGAAACAAGTACCCTATTGTAAGAGTTAAATATAATATATATGTTTCAATCTTTCCGGATTTGTCATAGTTCAATTTGATTATATGATACGATTTTAGCTTTAATTTCCTAAAAATTCCTGACTCTATATAAACATCAATTACTCGAAATTAATTTCTCATTCTCAACAAGAATTTATTTGTGAGAGTAAGCAATTTAAACCCTGGAACCTATATGCATTATTTAAAATCAAAAGTTGAAATGATATTTTTGATAAGCAATTGAATTGTACAATCTACAGTTCAGTACATTAATTAGTGGTCTTGATATCACGCCTGTTCAGATTACGTCTTAGCTTTAGTCTAAAGTTTATTCAAATGCTGTAAAAACTAACCACTAGTCTGTGTCTAATTCTATAGGTGAAAATAAATTAGATTGAATTAGATTTAACTAGAGCGAAAATGCACTAAGTAAAATAATCTCAGTACGCCCAAATTGCACAAGAACCAACGTGAGTATTAATTCTCTTTCTAAGCATGCAATGATAGTCGTGTCAAATTTTATTGATCAACCAAGAGACTTACGGTTTGTTATCATATAACCAGGAACGATACATGGTTAGATTTATTTGACTAAACCTACAATTTACGAAACAGAAGAGGTATTTTAATTCTTCATATAACTTAGCATAAACTTAGGTTGACTATATCTGCATATTAGTTTATAAGAATATCCTGCACTTCGAGTTATGTTAATCAATCACTACTATTTTATTGAACTTCGGGTTTAATATGTATCATTCCATTTGCATATTTTATATCGATACTTACTGTAGTCCTTGCATTTTATATTTCAAGTAGGTAAGATATTTCTTTTTTACGAAATAAAAAAATTATAAGATATTATGTCATTGTTCAATTCATGCTTTAATCTAACATCATAAATCATGAAATGGATTGAACTAAAAATTAAAATTAGAAAATTAATTATAGAAGCTCACTTTCATGTTGATCTTATCCATTCCGCTATCCAACATGTTATTAATGTCATTGAGATGTTCTTTAACGGTAGTCCGTGGTACTTCACTTGTTTCATTAAATATATATCGAGTCATGTTGAAGAATATTTCTACGGGAAGCTTCCCGGCTCTGAGGAGTAAACAACGGTTAAAATTTGTTAGAATCTCAGCTAATTACGGAATAAAACCTAGAAGCAAGGAAAACATGTTTGAACTATGGTAACAATAATGATATTGACGGAAGAAGAATTTCCGATATTATACCGCACCTATTTAAACTAAATGAATCATCTAGCAGCGTCGCCCTGTCTTGTACATTTATTATCTAGAAATTAGAATGCACCTAGGTTATACTGAATATTTAGCGGATAGCATTGAAGTTTTATTACTCATACTTATAGATCATGATACTATTCAATAAATATTCACCCTGTGATTAGCTTTCAGTAACTGAATAAATTTTTGCCACGATCTGTAATCATAATTCACTCGGTAAAAGCCAGTACTTAAAAGATTTCCAAGCAACCAGTCATTTGGTTTGCGAAGTTTGATAATCGCTATAAAATGAAATTTTTCAAAAATATATCTGAATTTTTACTGCAATAAAGAGGTAAAGATATTTCTTCCTTATTAATGGCGTATTTACTTGGTGATTTGGCAATGACGATACGTCCGTGATTATAATTTGTTTTATAAATAAACGGTACTTGCCAGAATTCTCTATTTGTAGTTGTGACAGACAAAAAGGAAGAAATTTATCATTATTATTTTTAAACTTTAACCATCACAAACAGAATGCATTGCATTTTTACTTAATAAGACTCTTAAAGAGATAAGAATATTCGATTTGCAAGATTCACTAGTATGCAGTTAAGTAAGTTCATTAGCATATTATTTTCTCGATATTAATCAAAAATAAAATACATTGTAAGAGGATAACTTGTGTTGCAACGCCATACCTATTGGAAGTTTTTATATCGTTTGATTTTATGTGATGAAACCACATAAATTTTGAAACGGAGATGTTAGCTTGCAAGCGAATTCGATCAATATTGACAGTAACTAGTGGATATCCAGGCTGACTTGTCCAAGCTGACATCATCTTACTTATGTTATATTTAGAAACCTATAAAAAATTAGACTGATCAGATAATTATTTGAAACTTCAGGAGTATTAAACTTATTTCTTTTAAATACAGCATGGTACATCTCAATATCTATCAAGTGCTTAATTTTATGTTTTCGCTAGAAATTTATCGAAATGCAAATAATAAAACGTAATAATATACGTAGTTTCATCACCAATGGGGTAGATGCACTATTTTTGAGGGTTGAGCGATATAAATTTAATGTAGATTACAAAATTAACCCAATATTAGGGAAGAATTATTGATAAATTAAGATTTGCATGCGTAAAATTTTGAAAGAATCGAGAGCTATCGTTCAGCATACTTTAAAACTGTAAAAGACTGTAAGAAATTTTCTAGATTTCTAACACGCTTATTTAATCGATGATTTTATTCTAAGTGATTACCGAGAATGCAAAAAAATTAGCTGCCCTAACTTTGCTCAAAATAGAGCTTTAGTTCATAATATATGTTAAAAAAATAACATTCTTAATGTAAATAAGGACACGATTTGCGACGATGAATTTTAGTATCCTACTGCTACGAATATTTAAGAATGACTGAAGAAATCATCTTTCTGTCTTTAAGCCAAAACTTCAGTTATATATAATAATCAACTCTTTTGAATCTTTGTAATGCAAGATCATAGTAGCGCTTATAGGATTCTCGCTCAACATATATTTTCGTACCTTATCAAAAGATTTCCATAAATCTAGGTTGCTTGCGGTTTTAGATTTCCATTTATATAGATAATGCTCAGTTCCTTGAAGGAAAGTCTTCTCACCCAAAAAAAATAATAACATTTGTAGAATACATGCTCCCTATGAATAGATTGAGGATTAAAATGGTTATAAATACGTATCATAGAAGCTTAGCTAGTCAGACGAATATGCATGTATCCTGGACAAGAGAGAGATATTTAAACTATTTCAAATTACAAATTTTTCAAGAAATCAGTTTACCTTAGCATATTCTATGCTATCATAATTTGCTTTAATTTTTTCAAGGGTTGAAATTGGCATCGATAGTGCATGTGAAGCAAAGAAACTATCTTCCTTTAGCGCTGCTAGATGGTTACTTTGGAAGAAGGATGCCATCTAAAGGTAAATACTCGTTATTAGAACATATAGTTCTGTAAAATGTAAGGTTTAGCAACAGCGATATTTGCAGGATAGATCTAGTTACCGCCTGTTTCATTGTTGTCAATTTGTATTCACTGACAAACTCCATCAACGTTGCAAAGCCTTCTTTAACCCATAATTCATTCCACCATTTGATAGTCACGATATTGCCAAACCACTAAAGACGGTAAGATAATACTGCAGGTTAATGATCGCTATGAAGGACACATTGTATATGAAAGGTCGGCAGCCAAAGTATTGATCGCCTTAAGACTTGCATTAATAAATTTACATCAATATTAACTTATTAATCTGCGTCTATAAAGCCCATATACAATAATTAATCAAACATGAATCACGGCGATTAATTACCTGATGAGCTATTTCGTGGGTAACGGTACTAATCACAGTTTGTCGCTGTTGATTTTCAACTGGCATGTAAATTGCAGAGCTTTCTGGATAGGTAATCAGTCCCCAATTTTCCATTCCTCCACTTAAATAATTAGGTGCTAGGACCATATCTGTATGTGAATTAAGGATTAATTACAGTTAAGAGTTTAATGAATGGTTTAAGAGTCAAAATTTATTCTGTAAAGTCTTCAATTCAACCTAATTTGGAAGAGTTCAGCTTCATGTGGAATAAGTTTTCAAATTGTGCCACAACTATTTTAGCGTGATTAATAGCTAATTTGGTGTAATTAAGCATATTAGGGGAGCACCAAATCCGCAGCTAATAAAATCAGACGCAACAATAGTGATAAATTAAGCATCTTCAATAAAAACAAGGATATCGTATTAGTTAAGAGTACCGCTCTGGAAGAATAAAACTACTTTTCCTTTCATTTGGAAAAAATTAAGCTGTCGGACTGCAGTAACATAATTGATAGTGCTATACTATATCATCCTTATCGTACACAATATTTCCTGACTATGAAGATTGAACTATGCGGTATTAAAGCAACATTCTATTCCACACGATATTTAAATTTAAACTGAAACTGTATAAAATAATTCTTATTTTCTTACCGTGATATTACTATTAGATTTTATTTCCAAGTGAGCTAGATTGCCGATTACATAAGCGATGAGATAAGAACTTAAAGGCGGAGTGGTAGCGAATTCAGCTTCCACAATTTGGCTGGTTAGAGATCGTTCCGTTATTGTAGGCATGTTAGACAGAACATGAAAATTTTTAGGTCGAGCGATGTAGATTTTATAAGGTGTTTTAAAGCCAGGTTCATCAAAGCAAGGAAATGCTAATCGAGCGAAAACGGATTCAAATTGAGTGATAGCTAGATGCCTACATTCATGACAGAGATTTTGAAGCAATACATATTAGATTGTTATGAAGTTTATTGTAAACTAACGAATACTAGTAGCAATAAGACTTGATTTTTTTACTTTCATTATACATGTATACTAATACTATTCTGATCATGCAATGAAAATAAATCAACTTTAGTAATGTTAAGCTTTATGATTGATATGCTACGCTAATAAATAAATTAAGAACTGCAATTAAGCATCGATATATAAGTGAACTAAATCCAATCAACTAGTAAAGCGCTAACCTGTGCCGACCATGGATATCAGTGTAGTTATTTAAATATAACCCTTTCAGCCTATCAGTGAAAACTTTACTTGTAAATTTGATTGATAATGTATAGTTGGTATGGACAGCTAAGTTGGATGATAACTTGATATAGAACATTTGTAAGGATGAATTATATTGCTTGCCATCAATCCTGATAGGTTTAATAGTCGGTAGTCGCGATTGATATATATTTACTAGCTGTATATCAATTAAGACATGATGAAAAACGATAAAATTCGTAGGTTTGGTTACATGTAATGTTATATTGACTTGACCGTCAGTAATTAATTTATCAAATTGAATATTAAGTTTCATAATGTAGAAAAGGGGTACAATATGTTTAGGTAAACGCGGATTTTGATAAGGAAAAGGAGCGTTATCTATCTGGGAAGATGTGTTACCATTCAAATGAGGAACCTTGGATGGCTTTGAAATATTATTTACAACTGCAGCTAGTAATGGCACAGTAACACATAAAAATAGTAGTAAAATCAAACAACCAATCATGGCATATTTTCCGTGTCCTTTTTCAATACGATAGCTACAACATGCCGCATCAGCAGATCCTAAGGTATCCTCCGATTCTTTTCTTCCATATTTATCTGATTCCGGTGTTAAAAGTGCTTTGGATTCTTCCATCATAATTGTGCTTTACTTGGTCTATAGTTTCCTGCACTACTTTTACCAACCTGTTGATTACAGTTTTATCTGCTAGAAGGGTATTAGTAATTTGTAATGTACTCATACACTACTTGATGATACCTTACTTAGTAACAGTAGCTGAAACTCTATGCTCTTTTCCCGGTTAAATAAGAAGCAATCCAAGAATAATTGCTATTGTATTTGTAACCGTATAAATGTGAGTATGTTGCCAACGGCTACCTCCTAATTACGATAATTCTCATTTGTCTATCCACAAGAATATTTACTTTACTATTGATTATCACATAAAGCTTAGACTATTTACGAATCAATTAACTTATGACGTAGCAGTTACCAATGAATTAATTTATAGCTGCTATTCTAGTGAAATAACAAAACTTCATTCATTATACACACACCAGTATTTTCTCTGTATTAAAAATCTCAGGAAGAACTATAAGTTTTACCATTTAATTATATTTTGATCTTTATTTAGTATTGTGAGCAATAAATATATATACTGTATATCTTTTATACTTTCGAAACTCTTTTACCTTGTAACAAGGAAGATCAGCTAGAAATCTTTCAGCGAGTCCTTTATAGCTATAGAGTATTGACGTAAAACATTATCGTTCTTACTTGGCCGTTATACACTTGAACAAACTAAGTATTTACTAACGGAATATTGCTGATGCCAGCAAATGTGGTAACACTCTCACAAATAAAATAATGGTCAAAAATCATAACAAGTGGTGAGATAGAAAGAAAACGCATTTAGATAAATATTTTCATCTACTATTTCATTGTGGGTTTACGAGTATAATATAAAAACTGTACCGAAATATCGCTGTCCACACAGCATGCAGTGATCGGAAATACGTTCATTTTACTTTAAATTTTTAATTTAAGTATAGCTAATTTTTACACTCCTTCCAATTGCTCAGAATAAAATGGCGTGACTATTTCATCTATTATGAAAAGGATTCAATACTAAGATCGATCTTTGTAGATAATACCTGAATATGAATGCGGAAATTTATGATGTAACTCATAATTTTACCACGGTATATTGTATTAGCTCACTAAAAACCTTAATGTTTTTATTACTGTCGTCTCGCATTCAACTAACTAAATAAGTATTGGTGATTTTTAATCAAGTTCTATTGATAGCTACTCTACAACGCGTAAAAAGGCAAAGTAAAGTAGCTAACTCTGAGTGTTTTTAGTTTAATATTACTGTTACAGCCAATGTCGGTAATGATGATATTACCGGTAATGGCTGGCCATTACCGATAATATCAGCCATTACCGACATTGGCTGTAACATTACAACCAAATCGTTTGCAGATTGACTAGACCCATATAATTATGTAAAGGCTGAGGTATTGCATCAGAAATCTTTACAAATCTATCATTAGAACTATGAATACCTAGCTAATATACATAACGAGTATCCGTAGACAATGTTACTAACAGCTATACCATAATTGGTATAAAAAGCCTATATACATTACCAAATGTAATATCTCTCAGGATTATCAATATTCATAAATGTCGCTTACAAATCAAATAGACGTGCTGTCCTTTTCGGTAATAATTAAAATAAGAGTTTCCATATTCAACCTCTTATGTAATATTTTCCAGCGCTACTATACGGTCCTTATTCAGTTTGAGCGTCAAAATCTGACATTCATTAAAATCTAGAAATAACTGCCACAAAAATAATCAAATCTATCCAGTACGTACGCTTTACAATATATACGAGTACGGATAGATTGTATATATAGCCTAGTTGCTTTATGATGGAGTTATGGTATTTCGGTAACATTCCAAATGGCTGATTGAGGAGATTTTAAAACAAAAATTTGATAAAGGGTAATCAGATATAATTTTTAGTGCCAATGTATTGTCAATTTAAGTGGATAAATGTTACATGATATTGCATGAGACTTCTTGATTACTATAAATTTATCATTGGAACTATGAATAGCCAGCGAATATACATAATGAGTACCCGTATATGATATTACTAAGAACTATATCGTAACTGCTATTAAAGTCTATTGTACATTGCCAAAAATCGAACTATTACTAAAATTAATAAATTGCTACCTCACAAATAATCAAATATAGTTAGTACACCTGTCCTACAATATATGTAAGTATGTATATAAATTGGCGGTAATGTAGCGTAGTTAGAGTATTTCGGTAACATTCCAAATGGCTGATCGAGGGATTTAAAAACAAATATTTTATAAGTGGTGATTAGAGATATACTTCTTATGCCAATCTATTGTAAATATGAATAAATGATATAAATTACCTCTTGATAAACCGAACAAATTTCAGTAATGACTCAAGAATAACGATCACACTAATTAAATAACTATAACAGACAAACTTTTATTTCTTTAATACGGCAGTAATGAACAATCTCAAGCAATTCCTATTAGCTAAAATGTATTCTTTAAAGCTAAAAGAGCATATTTTCATTCATAATATACTATTCAATTTCTGATTGAATATACTGAAACCAGTTCCTGGCGTCATTGTAGTTTTTCTTTCTCCATCGGAAAATAGCCTCTACTTTTTCTATTGCTTCGTTTACAACAAGTCCACCAGTTCCAGCATCGCCATGACAAGAAAAAAATTCTTTTATCTATCATATCAAAATAAAAATAGTGATTTCAGAATGGACGGATTTTCTTATTTGCAAGTCTCAATGAGATTGTTGTATCTTGCTAAAATTATGTAGTTTTAATACCTTCATTAGTTGAGTCTCGCTGTGACAGCTGCTTATCACTGTATCAATCAAATCAGCCATTAAAAATAGATCACCAGAGAAGCTAAAAGAAAGAATCATAAATGGATCAACCTTTTTTCCCATATTTTAATAAATAACTCTATCTAATAATTATAATATCGCAATCATTAATATATATAACAATATCTAGAGACGACTAAAGTTTGCTAAATCACTTAGAGCAATCTTACGTATCTATGAAGTACTTCCAGTTTTCTATTACAAAATTCCATGCCATTTCTTCGCCAGCTCTACTGCCACTGACAGCGCTGACGACGTTCATAATTTCAGATTTTGGTATCTTGGTATGATCTTTGGACAATTCTAGCAGTCTAACCAAATTATATGCGAAATGGTTAAGAGAGGTAAATAAGTACTAAATAAACTGTAAATTAAACGATAATAATTTAAATGGACTAACCGCCTAAGTAAAGATTGGTTATTACTAGCAGATAAAGCATTAATATAAAGACGTTTTAAATTAGCGTCGTTGGTGGCATCATATTTTCGTAGTAACTTTTCCCATTCATCGTTACCAGTCATTTTGATTCCATTTATTATATAAATAGCCTTTAATTCAATTGGAATACTAAAATCGGTAATTTAAATGGATACGTTAATGATATTGAAAACAATTGTGCCAGCACAAAGCTAGAAGCCTTAAATTCGACCAGATTATAGTAAGATCGAGATAATATTATAAATTTTGATACTAATCCTAAATTAAATTTACTACGGAATATCTTTGAATAAATTGGAATATTTTAAGATTTGGAGATAGTTATATTTTGTTGCAGTAAGTAAAAAGCAATTATGCTAGTTAATTATAGATGGCCGTTAATTTAAAAAGGGGCTCTACATGATTGTAAAGCGCTAAAATTTTCTAAGGTTAGTGAAAAACATGTGCAAATTTTATTAGGGATAGCCAGTAAGCGGTAGTTTGAATACTATACAGTTGGAAGCGGAAAATACTGAAAATTATGATGCTGTATTCTCAAGCCCATTTACAGATTGCTTTAAAATACGTAAATGGAAATAGTGTGGGACTGGAAGAATAAAAAAAATTATGATACGGATTGGCATTTCTGTAGGTCTACATGCGGATACTAAAAAGCCTAGTTCTAAGAATTCTGTATCTAGTGTATGCCATACCATAAATATAGTTAGTTAGCATATAATAGTTATTATTCGAGTTAATTAAATATGCATTGCACATCTAATTGCAGTTCTGAGCTTGACTAAAGTTTTTGGATAGAAATGGTATATCATGTGTGCTTCGGCACCCATAAGAAAGCAATTTTTCATTACCTATTTTTTCCATGCAGCCATTCTTGAAAACGGGTTGTGATGTTTTGCAAAACATTAGTATCATTAGCCATTGCTGCTACGCTTATAATAAACTTGCGGCCTTTTCTATGATGATACCGAAACGAAAGAAGTTATTTTCATTTTATTAATACATGATGACCTTTAGGATACTCAAGACACAAATTCTATATTAATATCTTAGAAAATTGCTACCTTTCTTGCACTGTTCCTTTATCTTCTAAACCAAGTGTTCGCAGCTGTGGCTCAACTAGATACTGTAGATATCGCTAAAAAATAATTTTATAAATATCAAAATCGTTTTAGAGTTTGTTCTATATACATTGCTTAGATTTCTAGTAATACTATCCCTTTAAAATTTATTTTAGAATCCTGTCAACATATGTTGCATATTTAGTTAGTAATTTATACATTTCATGGACATATATAGTAACATTGTGGACGAATTATATATCAAAAATATATGAGATTAACTTATAGCATTAAATACTGTCATATTATTGTTTGTTGTAATTCTTAAGGAATAGCGGCTGGAAAATACCTGAACATTAAGGATATCATCACTGTTTCTTTCAAAGAGGGAAATGATTTTTGAAATCTTGGATAAGCCAACATACATTGGATTGTAGGCCTTTTCCACTCTTAAATATTTTGTCATGTTCAGGAATACGGTAATATCCAAAATATCAGCACTGTTGGAATGATAAAAAATGCATCAATAACCTAAACTTGCTGGTATTTATATTAGATCCTACTATAGTACATGCCTATAGATTATTAATCTATAGGCCATGATAACTACTGTATAACTTCGTATCTTTCAATTTTGGATTTATTTAAGTTGTATAAAAAAAACTGCATTACCGATTCAAATTGTAGGAATCATCTAATAACCCGGTCCTATCGAGACTTGATAATTTCTATATTTTTATAGATACAGATATTTATAATTCGAAAATTTTTTAATAAAATGATTCGCTAATTGAGATAGTACAAGTCACTCGTTCCATAAATCGACAATTTACTTATATACTTGTATTATTAATGTATAAATAAATATAGATGGAATATATTAAAAGCATTTTATTCTAAGCAATACGAAATTTTTATAGACAAAAATTTAAACTATTAGCTACGAATATTACTAACATTATAATTCTCTTGGAGTTGTTTTATTAATTTAACCCAATTTTCAAGCTCGTAATTGACACGATAGTATCCCTTTTGCAAATAATTTGCTTTAATCCAATGCTGGCTTTTTACAAATTTCACCGCCACTGTAGGGTTTAATCAGTAATTAAATATTTGGCTGTCAATCATCATTTTAATTCCTGTGTCAAATTATCTATAGTATATTTTAAGAAATGAGCGGATGATTTTAGAATAAAGACACTTACTTTCTTTAGCGGTCATCATCACTCTACCTGCAAGACCTTCTCCGGTAATATATCGTATCGGTACGTGCCATAAGGTACTATAAATGATATGAAAAGATTAATTAAAGCTAGTTTTTAGCTAAAAGATTTTTAGTCATAGTAACGGTTTGAAGATAGCATAAATGAGTACTTCACAAGAGACAATATTCGATTTTTTATACTGTACAGAAATATTACCTATCAGTTTTATTAAATTGTTGATTTCCTGCAGACATTGAAAATCTTTCCTGAGAAACAATATAACTGCTATACAAGCTATCATATTTTATTGTAATCAAAGGAAATCCTGATTGATGTGTCCAACTGTTCATGACAGGTTTTAAATCATATCTGTATACCTAAATTGAAACACATTATTAGTTATAAAATAAAATGAATTAGAAACAAATCGAGAAATTAATCAGTAATAACTTTGGTAATGTTTGTTAGGGAATGCCTTTACTGCACTTTTAGAGGATTTTATGAGTAATAATATTTAATTATTACGTAGTTGCGTAAATATCTTATCAAACCGAAGAAATCGAATTCCATAGATCATCACTGTCAGCATTTCGGTATTTATAGGTAATCAAGTACTTGCGAAGACCGTTAAAGAATATGGTAGAATTTAAATAATCTTGTAACATTGTCAAAACACAGCATCCCTAATATTAAATAAAGAATTCAGATTGTATGTGTTGTACAAAATAGACAAAATTAGCTGTCCGATTACCAAACGTTAAACAATTTTTACCTTCGAGTATGAAATTTTGTCAAACAAAGCGCCAATTTCAGTTGTTCTATCAACATTTTGCAGGATCGGATGAGAATTAATGTAGCTGTCATATTGCATTGCTGGTATGAATTCCTTCATATAGAGGCTTTCTAGCTATAGTTTCATTAAATGGTCAATATAAATACTTCATTATCTAGTAAATCTTTCAGTCTATAGATATTTAATACTGCAAAGACTCACAATATGAAGACTTGGGGCAGCTAGATTGCCGCCTAAATATTCGACAAAAGAAGCAAAGCCTTCATTCAGCCACAAATCACTCCACCATCTCATTGTGACCAGGTTACCAAACCACTAAAAGTTATTTAGATATTAATAAGGCATAAGATAAAAAATTTTCAGGTTACTGCAGGATAGATTTTACAACAGCTGTATACTAAAAATTGCTTAATTTACGCTTATACTGCACGAATTCTTTATAGCTACTCTGAATGAAATAATACAACATTTCATCAATTTGCACAAGATTCTTTTTTATAAAAATTAGGTACTAAATTATTATGCTGCAATTTCATGACGGTCAGTACTGTATGTACCAGCCGCGGTAGAAGTTTTGAACTGTATGTTTTAGTCATTAGGCTTATAAATCATTTCCACAGAAGTAAAACTATCTCGGTATGGGAAACAGCTATTATTCATAACTATGTCATAATTACATAGCTTTCAAATGAGACAAGCAGTTTTCTGAACAGTACAACCGAAAATGTAATAATTTCTAATTTACAAATGAAAATAATTTATGATGTTATCTTTGTTATAAAACGAAACAATCAGTGAATTCTAAAGTATTTATTAAATAAGAGATTCGAATGGGATATCTACGTCTAAATAGTCCTTCGCAAATAGCACTATGGAGGTTTGCGATAATTGCATTGCCATTTCATATTAATAATGCTCGATGAAAAACTCGATCTTACCTGATGAGCCAGTTCATGTGCAACCGTAGTGACAACACGCTCAAAATTACTGATTGTGCCTACTTTAGGATTATAAAGCAATGATGTCTCTCGAAAAGTAATTAGACCCCAGTTTTCCATAGCACCAGCAGAAAAATCCGGTACAGCTATCAAATCTATTAATATGAATAAGATATTAATTAATTACGTTACGATTGCATTTATACTGATAAATGGATATAATTGACCGCAGTACTTATTTTATGACCATGGCATTTTATTCAGCAATATACAAATTTATTTAATTGTTGATAATTATGATAGGTCATAATTTAAGACATACGGAGTAATTCAACAAAAGTGATCAAACCTAGCTTTGGGAGTGGATATGCAATACCAAATAATTTTCGATAATATGGTAAGATTTTAACACTAGCGTTCAGAGCGACTTCGGTATAATTGATTTTATCAGCTGGTGCCCAAGTTCGAATCTTAAAATTAGATAATGCAGGTCAATTTTATTGAGTTCTTTTATTCTTAATCGAACATCAAATTACTGCTTTGCCATAATCTTATGCATTCTTTCATCGTTAGCATTTGTAACAAGTTAGAATAGATTGAACATAAAGCTATTGTTGGTTACATGATTCAATTAAAAATGATCCATTATCGTTTGTAAACTATAATTAAGCCAGATTGATAGTAAAAACTTACATGAACTGAACCTTGGCGTCTTTCTAAGTAATGATAATCAACTACTGCGAATGCTATCAAATACGTGCTCATATTCACGCTCTTTGCAAACTTGACTGCTACCATATTATTTTCCGTATTTAGCACAATACTATCTTCAATGGGCATGTTAGATAGAGCTTGGTAGCCGCTTGGTCTTACAATAGTTAAAGATACAGTAACCTTCATACCGGGTTCATCAAAACAAGGAAAGGCAGATCTCGCAGAAGCAGCTTCAAATTGGGTAACATACATATACCTATCCAGCAAATAATTATAATATCAGTAATTAATTATCATTTGAAATAGGTTATTGATGCTAAGGTTTTATATAAATTATGAAAGAATCTATTAATTTAAAGCATGCTACTAGGGATAATTCAGTCTATTAGTAAGTCTTATAAGATGCTATCGGTAGTTAGGAGCTATAAAATTATGACGGATATCATCGATTTGCTCGTGTAAAAGATTGCAAGTTGGCAATTTTTATTACTGCAGAAAGCTAACCCCCATACATAAAGTATAAGTTACATTTCCCGATATCTGCATTTGTTAGGACCGCTTTTTAACTTCTCAGTAAAGAATAAAATGTAGGGTTGTATTAACTATTGCAAGAAAACTCGTTAACCTAATTAGATAGAATAACAAATAGAAATTTTTATCTCAAGGGATAGTATCGGTAATTTTACTCAACGGTATTTATGCTATATAGATAGGTTATGTGAAGGTATTTAGATATAGCATCAAGTTTGAAATATATGTCTAAGGCTGTATGAAACGAAATTTTGGAAATAATACCGGAATTAGAAAATACATAATGTACACCAACAGCTCGATAAGTAAGCTTAACCGTGGCTATGATATATATATATGTCATAAATTTAAAATTAAATTACATTTAGAGAAACGTTCCTATTTTCGCAAATTGACTGGAATGAAATCCACGTGGTGCGTTATAAAATTTAGATGTAATGCCGTAATTGATCTAGATTATTTAACGATATATAAACTAAATTTACCTAGACTATCCTAATACATAATTTAGGTTACGACTATTACGAGCTACCTGTATCTATTGATTCAACTATAGATCCATATGTTATAGATTTCGATCAACTACTAGATTTGGGCAGCATAAAACTAATAAAATATAACTAGATTTAACCTATCTAGCGCTTATAAACAGTTTATCGTTTATCATCGATATACGTGTTACTCAGCTTTGAAAAAGTACTAGATTTTGATTAGCCTATAGCAATAGAAGTAACCAAATTTCCACAATCAAAATATAAATTTGGGGGATTTTCGAAATATTAAATTTAAATTAATCTGGAACAGTATTAGGGACACTAGAATCACGTTTTCTAGAGTTGGTAAAGGCATCTATTGTAACTGTAGATACAAACGTCTCGAAATTTAGAAAGGATCCAGCTCTATACTTAGATCAATTAAAATAGACATGAAACTATATCTATATCATTTAGTACTAAGTATACAGCGACTAAGTTTAACTTTAGATATACTCGTTATGGGATTAGAAAAAGAATGAATTATTTAGTGCTTTACAGTAATTTAACATTGAATTTAAGAATTATGAATTTCGTAAGCAATGCTAGTTGAGATCATATAGTATTAGTACAGTAATTCAACTTATTCATGGGTCACCATATGATGATGCAAAGAAAGAATATTCGACTTAGATTATATAAAGATGTAAAAAGTAAGTTTAATCTTTGGCAGTAGAAATTCTTCGCTAGGATAACTCAATTTCAGATGGAAAACTGATGTTAATGAATATTGGTACTTAATGTAGTCTATATTTTATGGATCATTTGATCTTATTTATATATATATATATGTATGACTTCATTTCACTAACGTAGGTGTAATTCCCGGCAATACAGTGAATTTAACTGATTATTGAAACATCCTTTCTATTTATGGTAAATATCATTTGAACGGTTGGCAGATAGAATATTTACTTGCTGGATATAACGGATTAATTAAATATTTGTGCTGATCTAATGTCGACTGTGCCTATAGTAATATAGCTAACAGAAGATTTATTAGAAAACTTAGTAAGTTGACTGCCTTATTCATCGATAATAACATAGTCCATAAAAATATAATAAGTCATTTGCAAGATCGAAACCATTAGGATTTGTCAAATAAAAATTTTTCAGGTTTAGCGAAGATGGCAATATCTAATGCTAGCATTTCACATTTTTAACAGTTATAAGATACCATTTTGTAACAATATCGTGGAAAATCGATCACTTTTGGTTTACTGTAACTGATCCTAGTTATATACTTATATCATAATTTACCGTTGTCTCTTAAAAGTAAAGCTACAGATAAAGAACATAAATCATAGATCAGCTAACCTATTATTGCCAGTCATATCCCTGTAGCTTGCTCGGTAAAATCCTTGCAGCTTTTCTGTTGAAATCTTACTGATAAAAGTCATCTCCAGGTTGTAATTTTGATCAGGTTGAAAAGATTCTTTCATTTGAATATAGTAGAAATCGTTGTAGTTGTTTTGTAAAGTTTTACTGACATTTATAGGATGTTGCCTGAAATCGGTAATCAAGACGGATTGAATATCGATATCTTTGGCATGAATCAAAATGAACGATGTAGCTTGTACACAGCTTAGATTAATTTTAATTTCACCATGAGTTTGTAATTTAGCGTAGTTAGGATGCAAGTAGATCTCATAATGTAATGGGAATATAGTTTGTGGCAATCGTGTGTGACTATAAGGGAATAGTTCACCATTAGTAGAGGTAGAAGCTAGTCTGGCAGGATCTTGATTCGATGACGGTGTAAAGTTGATGTTACTTGTACATTTGGATGTGTCATTATTGGAAACGGAGGGCCGAATATAATTTTGTGATACAATGGCTAATACCAAAGAAATCATAGCAAACAGTAATACTATTGTAAGTACAAAGCAATAGAAATAAGCCCGATGTTTCATTATTCGGCAGCAGCAACATTTAATGGTACTATCTATATCAGGAACTTCATCGGGTCCATCATCGTCATTTCGACTCTGGATTAGTTGATATTTTGCCTCGTTGACCATCGCTTTTTCTTCAAATTGAACAACAATTTAAAAGTTAGGTTCGTTATTATAAGATAAATTAATTTCTATTAAATAACTACTTCAAAAATAACCATGAAGAAATCAGTAATTTTTAAGCCTATTTTTACAACATGAGTGAAAAGATAGCATACGAGAATGAGCAATATCAATGACTCTTTGCAACTACTAGCAGTACACTTTACTTTGTCTGTTGAAATATTCAGGAAACACAATTTATTAACCTCTTTAAAGTAGGGCAATTTTCAGTTGAGTTTTTATGCAATCTTTTCTTCTCTGTAGTATAATCAGTTCAATTCATTTGCTGCTATCAATTTTTTAATACTGAGTTTGTCTTGGTTGATCGCAACTATACTATAGGTTTTTCTCTATGCAAACTGCTTGCATCGATCATGATCATAAAAACTGATATTGTCGAATTATAACAAAGGAGTTACAATACATTTATCATCCTTTTTATGACCAATTTTGTATAGAAAACTATTCTTAGCCATGTAAATTTCATTTTTATTGCTATTATACTGATTTAATACGCAAGACAATCGATAAAATTTATTATTAGGAAATTGCATGAAAGAGAAGAAAACAATTTTGTTTGACAATAGCTGGCGCAGAAAAATAACTTTAAATTCCTTCTACATGAAGCAGCGTTATCGACAATCAATAGGCCATCGAAAGAGAGAGTATAAGCATTAATAACGGCTAATTTACTACTTTAACGCTCTCATCCGAGCATTTTTTGATCTGTCTTAGCAATAATATTGCTTGACTTATCGACTATTTTAATTAAAATAGTTATAATCAATAAACGTAACGGTCTAATAGTAAACTAACCGTTTTATTCGACTATAGCAAGCTATCGGCAATATTTACCATTATCTGTTTGATATAGTAATAATTCAATCAAAGTTCATCATTCTCGTAAATCATAAACGTATCAATTAACTAAAAACTGTCCAAAACAATATTTTACTAGCTTTTAAACTATGACGATTGAAGATCAAAATCATAATCCAATGTCAGTCAAATTTTAAAAAATAATTCTTTAGTAATAGTGATAAAGCAGGTATGAAGGCAATTCAGGCCTATACTTATAAGGAAATTTGAACAGACGCCGATTTTCTTTTATTGTTAAATCAATAACGTCATTGCTAAATTTATGTCAAAAACTGTTATAAATGACTTTTAATAAAAGCATCTGAAAAAATGATGCTGCTACTCGCTACTCGGTATTACTCATGATGGAATAGTATATTGATCGTCTATAGCGGTAGAAATTCTTAAAATCATCATCTTGGGCTCCTATGTTGTTAATTGGTAAGATATGAGAATTTTTATAGCCATTAACTCTATTATCACCCGAAATTAAAATCTTCGACTATCTCCTAATAACCATTGTTTAAATTATACTGTAAAAGGATTTTCTAGTAAACAAACAGTGAACACTACGTAAGACCCATGATTACGAATGAGAATCTGGTTTATTTTCAATTACTCTTGTCATCTTGTGAGGATACAGTAGCG